TTGAGATTGAGAAGAAGGCAATAGCATTGCCTTCTTCTCAATTTATATATTAAAGAAAAAAGCAAAAGAAAGTGAAAAAAGGCAGGGCCATTGCCGTTTCCGGGATAAACAAATACAAAAAAAAAAAAAATGGTTTTAATTAAATGTCTAGAATTTAAAAATTACACAAAATTGTCTTTTCCTCTAAAAATTTACACATTTTAAGAAATGATTTGGTCTAGATACTATAGAAAATTCCTCACAAATTAATTATGAATCTGTTAAAAGAAACGATTTGAAAAGATTACGAAATATTTGTGACGATTCAGTAGATCTTTGAATCGTTGCGTTGGGTAGCAGAATTCTCCCCTTTAAATATCACCCATTATTTTCTGCTCTGAATATGTCATTATAACTGAACTTTGGTGTGGGGTTTATGTGGCGAAACTACAAACAAAACATAAAACTCCTGTTTTCGTTGAGATTAAGGAAAGAAAATTGTGTCCGGCATCAATGGTGACGGTGGGTAATGGAGAAGAAGATGCAGTCATGCATGTGCTGGTCGTTGACGACAGTGTGGTTGACCGTATGGTCGTTGAGAAATTGTTCATCAAGTCCTTTTCTTGCAAAGGTAATTCATTCAATTCCTTTTTTTTTTTCGGGTGACGAGGAAATTCGTCATCACTACTCAAAAATATACATCAGATAAATCAAACATAATAATTTGTTTAGTACAAAAATTATGTTTTACTTACTCGATCACTCTATCTTTTCAGTAACAACGGCAGAAAATGGAGTGAGAGCTTTGGAGTACCTGGGGTTATTAGCAGGAGATGTCCAACACAACTCTCCAAACACCAACGTCAGTACTAAATTTCATTCCATATATACGCACAAACCTTAATTACTTCGAATATTTATATTTTGAATAATATTATATTATCTTTCTGCAGGTACCAAAGGTGGATTTGATAATAACAGATTACTCCATGCCTGGAATGAATGGCTATGAACTTCTTAAGAAAGTCAAGGTCAGAATCTTTTTAATTACGAATTTGAATATCACTGAAATTATATATAATAGAGTAAGTCCTATGTAAGAACGTAACTCTCATGTGTGGCGTATAATACTTTTTGGTTATATATGGTCATATCTGAAAGGTGATTGTTCCTCTTATTGTCTTGATATCGATTGTCTCCAAAAAACCATCCAGACATGCATGACAGAAATTTACAAGAATGTAGTTTGATATTTCATGTTATAATCTTAATTGTTGAGTATGTCTATATAAGGGATACGTGGGTAGCGGATTGGATCAGCCCAGTACACGGGTATTTTTATACTTGTACATGTTTAGGGCTACATATAAATATGATGTTTGTAATCCTATATGTTTTAAAATAATAGTTTCTCTCTCGTAAATGTAAACACATTGCTAACCTTGTAAGTCTTGTCCATCTTTTTTTTTTTTTTTTTATTATTTTTTATTTTTTACTTTCATTGTTATTATTCTTGTTCTTGTTAATCCCAACATTAATTAATATATTGGTATTGGATTTTGCAGGACTCAGCCATGTTTAAGGATGTTCCAGTTGTGGTGATGTCATCCGAAAACATTCCAAGTCAGATAAACCAGTAAGAACAATACAACCTTAAATTCTGCTAACTACAGTCATTAATTATTGTTTAATTATTTGATAAATCAATAAAAATTGATTGACAGATTCATGGAGGCAGGAGCTAAGATGTTCATCCTGAAGCCTTTCAAGCTAGCTGATGTGAACCAACTCAAATCTCAGTTAATGCAATCCTGAAGATAAAAGATTATCAATGTGATGAAGAAGATCAGAAGCTTTAGTATTGTTAGATCGAGATTTGATTCAAAAAAAAAAATTTTTAATTTAATTTATATCATGGATGCTATGCATTATTATTTTACTATTACAATGGAATTTATAGATGAAGACAAATTATAAAATTATAGATGAAGACAAATTACAATGAAATTCTCTATTATTTTTCTATTACAATGAAATTTCTCTATTACAATGCAATTTATCGTGCAAGCATCTTTTAGTTATTACATATATATTGATGTTTTATGGTGACAACCAATCATTTGAAGAGCTCTAATAGGCTAACCACAAAGTTTCAGAAGAATTGAAGAATGACATGCATGTTTTAGTTATTTCAAAAGTTTAGTTAATTCTTTTTTACTATAATTTAATTTGCCAAATATATGTTATATCAGACAATAGATGAATGGTTCAATTTTTATTTATTTTTTAAAAATATAAATTTAGAGCAAGTCACACGTCAAAGTTCGCAAAGAGTTCCTATAATGCCTTGAGAAAAAGTCCCCAAAAAAAATGGAGAATAGAAACTATAAGAAACTAAAAGAGATTTGTCTCTGATCTCTTACTTTTAGAAGATATTTCAGTACCTCAAATCAGGGTAGATGAATCGAATCGAATTAAATATCTTATTATTCGCGATTCGAATTAGACTATTTTGAAAATTACTATTTGTATTCATATTCGTATTCGATAAATATTCGAATCTAAAATTTTATTCGTATTTGCTTCGACGACATTATTCGAATATATTGATTCGACTCAAATATTCTAACTCAAAATGCCTAACTTAATTTTTTTTGAAATAAAATTTTCTATTAATACTATTATACTAATATTCTATTAATATACTAATTTTCTTTGCCGTCCTGTACCGCCGGAAGCTCAAAAAGAAAACAAACCAAAGAGGACGTTGTGAGATTTAAATATACAAAGCATAATCTACGAGAAACTTAACTCGTAGCAGCGGAAGCGGAAGCGGAAGCATTGTAGATCTCCAGCCATAGTTGATATCCTGTTGTATTGTAGATTTGCAGAATAGGGTTAGCCGTTTTGTCTCATACTTGACTCAGAACCCTAGATGGTGTATTGGTATTTTCTGAGCAGTATGAGTACCATATAATATTCATGTATCTTGTATCCCATCAATACAAGCTTTATATAGGCACATTGGTGGATATAAGACTTAAACCTAAAGGTCCAACCCAACCAATTACTTAATGGGCCTAGTCCACTTGCACCACATAGGTAAGACCCATAATATATAATATATATTATACGGGAAAGTCTTACAGTCTCCCACTTGGTGCAAGTAATAGCACAATTCGCATTAAAGAACAAAACACACAAATCATAGTAATATGTCATCTACTGAATAAGTGAGTAATATCTCCTATGATCACATGCATATTTGATTCCCCAACTTGAATCCTTTATGAACAAACCCAATGTTTATTCTTGGTACCTGAAGGGATGTTTCTCAAAATAAAATGTATATGCGCAACTTAAGAGAGAAAATCATCCAAATTGTACAAAAGAGTACATTGTATGATCTCTAATATCCTTAAAAGCATGCCTTAAGTAGAGATCTCTTAATTAGCATAATGCTAACTATATATTCCATAACTTCACTACAAGAAAAATGTACATAGACAACGGTTAATAACCGTTGTCGTAGGGGTATAATTTCTGTTGTTGAAGCCGGTGTTGTTGTAAGTCCCGCGCATAGACAACGGTTTTTTAACCGTTGTCTTTTCTAGAAACAACAACGGTTTTTTAACCGTTGTCTATTAAGTGTTGTAGAAGCCGGTGTTGTTGTAAGTCACGCACATAGACAACGGTTAATAACCGTTGTCTTTTCTAGAAACAACAACGGTTTTTTAACCGTTGTCTATTAAGTGTTGTCGAAGTCGGTGTTGTTGTATGTCACGCACATAGACAACGGTTAATAACCGTTGTCTTTTCTAGAAACAACAACGGTTTTTTAACCGTTGTCTATTAAGTGTTGTTGAAGATGGTGTTGTTGTAAGTCACGCACATAGACAACGGTTAATAACCGTTGTCTTTTCTAGAAACGACAACGGTTTTTTAACTGTTGTCTATTAAGTGTTGTTGAAACCGGTGTTGTTAAAAGTCACGCACATAGACAACGGTTAATAACCGTTGTCTTTTCTAGAAACGACAACGGTTTTTTAACCGTTGTCTATTAAGTGTTGTTGAAACCGGTGTTGTTAAAAGTCACGAACATAGACAACGGTTTTAAACCGTTGTCGTTTCTTCCAAAGACAACGATTTTTGACCCGTTGTCAATTCAATGTTGTTGAAACCGGTGTTGTTAAAAGTGATGCACATAGACAACGGTTTTTAACTGTTGTCTTTTGTAGAAAAGACAAAAGTTTCAAACTGTTGTCTTTTGTAAAAAAGATAACAGTTTCAAACTGTTGTCTATTGTAAAATAGACAACTTTTAACCGTTGTCTCAACCCGTTTTTAACCTGCTTAAATTTTAATCATATAAAAAAAAAAACAATTTATCCATTCACCATGGCCAAGTGTAGTTACATTGCACAAGCTAAACAAGGTTCATAATAACAAGTCTAAATACTGAGCATGACCAATTATAATCAAATCATCATCCAAGTCATAATACTACAAAAAACAATTCTGATCCACAAACCAAGTCTAAATGATCACAACGTCAAATCATACCTACTCTATATAACATGATGATAGAATATCGGCCCATTCTGAACGCACCAGATCAATAACCGCTTTGTCATAATCAACTTGTTAGAACTACATGTATTGATATCCGGGTGATAATATCCATACACAACTCCTGGAGCACAAGGAGAACAGTTAACAAGAATTGATATCCGGGTGATAATATCCATATGAGTAGTTGATGAGCTGGCTTGTTTAGATGACAATCTGACTATAATAGGAACTGTGGCTAACGCAAGACCTGGCAATTTTGATTCCATACAAATCACAAAGATGCAAGCTAAAGATGTTGTGCCTCCTAAGTGATAAAATGAGTTTCTATACAAATGAGGCAGTAAAGGTGCAAAGCCAGAAGATAGATTGATAAGAAAGCAAAAACTGAATAACACAACTTACTTGTGTTGTCCTTTGTAACAAGAGACTTGTCATGGAGGTTTCCTTCTCCATTTTGAACTTAAGCTTGTATTTAAAGCACAATAGTGAATGTTTTTGTAAAGTTTTAATACAAGAGTTACAAGAGTTTGCAAAGAATAATTACATAAGTTAGAAATTTAACTTTTAATACAAGAGTTTGCAAAGTTCACTAGTATTTATACCTTAAAGCTTCCCCCTTTTCACTAGCTACTTACTCCTCTTGGCATTCAAGCACAATAGTGAATGTTTTTCTGTCCTGGCATAATACCCGAGTTATCAGAATTCATGTGTGCTTATATATATATGTATATATATATATATATATATATATATATATATATATATATATATATATATATATATATATAAACATATAACTAGTAATTGCTAAGACTAGAGATGACATTGGTAATAAATGCAAAGCATGTTAACAATCAAGTGAATCAACAACATTAAAAACATATGGATAATAAAACTCTCCTTACATGTTTTTGAAGTTTCTTCAGCTTGGTATTGAGTTCTTCTAACACCTTGGTATGTCTGTCATCTTCTCTTAACTGAAAGGACCCTGATAAATAAGTACACTCTCTTCTTACCTGTAAGATCATGAATAGAATTTTCACATCAAGCTTGGGCATGAGAGCTTGTCACAGTTTTAGACTAAGTATTGCTCACAAAACTTTCCACTTTGGACTGTCCCAATAAGATTGATATCTAGTAAACATTTGTTTGTCGCAATAACTTGAGCCAAACAAACACTAAATGATCCACTTTTAGTGAACTTAATTAATTAAATATTTTTTGTTCAATCATCTCAAAGGGTAATTTATGCATTTATGCATATAACATAATACTCAAAATTTTAAAATTTACAAGTTTCTCCCCATGGAGTGAAATGGCAAAACCCGAGGCTGAAAAGTAGTAATTCAAGTTGAAGTGGTTTAAAAAACTAAATATAAAAATACCTCATTCTCAAGCTGGAGACAAGCAATTTTTTTCTGTCAGCTGTGAGTGCTTTACAGAGTATTTTACAGTGGGTTCCAAATATGTGTAGCTAATCAAAAGATGGTAGCATAAGCCACCAATCAATAACCACGCAGATCCTAGATTTCGCATAAAATCTACAATATAGAGAGCAAATAAAAGAAAGAACATTAGTTCTAATGAAATGAAGCACCAACCATGACCACTAAAAAGAACGTATTATCAATTGAAGATTTTAAATTAAGCCTGACCAAAAAAAATGTATTTACCACTTGATGAACAAGGGAGATAAAGGAAACGCAGCAATGGCTTAATTAAGGGACTGATCAATTTTTTAAAATGTTCATGTTTCGAGGACTTAAGGAGGGAAATCATGACCGTCACATCATTTTCCTGAAACATAGAAGAAGCATGTTGGAGTTATAAGTGGATAATTGCTAAGGATATTGTGGTTATAAATCAAGAGTTTGATAAATAAGTTTATGTTTTTCACTAGAATAACAATAGTCAAAATCACAATATTGCCGTTAACATAGAATTCTATAAGAATGGATACCGACATACCGTAATCATCTTCCATGAATTACAAGGAAAGAGATACTTGATTTCACTGTACTTGTCATCTTCAAATGAACTTTGGTGAGCACTTACAATCTAGAATCACAGGGAACAGGAATTAAGATGTCATTATAATAGTTACAAAGAGAGAAAGGTGGTATTCAGTCCAACTGAAGGGAGAAAAACCTGTTGGAAAAGGAACCGAGCAGTAGATAAAAGGAATTCAGTTATGCAAACATCCATAGAACCATGCCAAAGGTGGTGTGAAGAAGCTCTATCTACTAATTAGTTCGAGTATTGACACAATATCAACATATTTATCAATGAATTTACACATTTTTAGCATTCCATATGTTTAATTCACCAGGTTACAGAA